TGAACAACACTAAATTCATTTTGTCCCCATTCCCCCAATACTTGTTAAATTTCTCTTTCATCTTGATTGCCATAGATCGTAAATCATATCATCACCATTTTGCCATTCAATCAAAGTAGAATACACATCAAAAATGGAATCTAGCAAAGAATTAGCAGTTATGTAAGATGTACCTGAAACACTCAAAGTCAAATCATAAAATTCTCTCAAGAAACGAGAAATCCTCCTAATATGTGCTCAATCTTTGTCATCAGGTATGCTATCTCCCAACTTTATTAGCTCATGTATGTAGCTATTATCACATAACTCAAATGATGCAAAAGGCCTTTGAAATTTCAAAGCTATATCTGACATCAAAAACATAGAATTCCATCTACTGTTCATATCCAAACACAATAAACACTTGCTCTCAACTACTACACTAGTAGCACACTCCTTAAACTTAGCTAATCTAGCAAGGAATTGTTTAATATATTTCATTGCCCCTCTAACACAAGCTATTGAGGTATCGATATCCTTTAATCCATTAGACATCACAAGATTAACAATATGAGCAATGCATCTCACATGAAAAAATTTACCTCATAAAATACTAGTTCCAGCAATATTAAATTTTTTCTTCAAATGTCCTATTGTAACATCATTTAAACTAGAATTATCAATAGTGATAGAAAAAATCTTTTCGATCCCCCAATCAAGCAAACATTTTCTAATTGCTTGACCAATGACCTCACCTTTGTGATTAATAATGGGATAAAAGTTTAAAATCCTTTTCTGCAACTTCCAATCATTATCAATAAAATAGGCAGTTAGACACATAAAATTAATTTTTTATATCGAAGTCCATGTTTCAGTGGTAAGATACATTCTACTAAGACATGATCTTAACAATATTCTCATTCAAGTTTTTTCATTAATATAAACTTTATAACAATCCCTAGCAATAATCCATTGTGACAATATATGAAATCTATGACATACTTTGTTATGTGTTTCCTATATCCTTGATTTTCCACAAACTTAAAAAGCAATTCATCCAAAATGATCATCTCAGCTAAACTCTTCCTAATTGTCTCTTGATCAAAATTCCAACTACCCAACTCATCTCCTCTCGAACTACAAACTAATTCCATTTACTTGTTCTCCTCACTATCATGAACCAATTTCAACTTTGGACAAACTTTAATATGATTATTCAATAAAGATGTTCCATTTTTTAATATCAACACAAATTCTTTACCACAATGAGAACATTTAGCCTTCTTATTACCTTTTTTATCAACAAATTCGGTGAAGTGATCCCACACAATTGATGTAGATTGAGGTGGTTCCCTTTACTTCCACACTTTGCTTACAACCTTACATATTTTGTTGGCTTCAGTAGAACTAGTAGTAACATGAGGTGTAGATGTTGATGGTGTTGATGTTGATGTTGGTGTTGGTGTCTCCCTAGTTACCAAATTTGTTTCCTCATTAGTTGACATCTAAAAAAAAAACCCAAATATTAATTCTACTCATTAATTCTAGCATATTGCTAATCATTTTAATTGAAAATCCAAATAATAATTCTAAACATTAATTCCCAAACATAATTCGTAATATTTAATTCTAGCATATTGCCAATTATTTTAATTGAAAATCCAAACAATATTTATAAACATTAATTCCTAAAGATAATGTTAATTCTAGCATATTACCAATCATTTTAATTGAAAATCCAAACAATAATTCTCAACATAATTTTTAATGTTTAATTCTAGTATATTGACAATCATTTTAATTGAAAATCTAAATAATAATTCTCAACATAATTCCCAAACATAATTCTTAATGTTTAATTCTAGCATATTGTCAATCATTTTAATTGAAAATCCAAATAATAATTCTCAACAGAATTTCCAAACATAATTCTTAATATTAATTCTAGCATATTACTAATCATTTTAATTGATCGGTTTCTTGATCAGTTCATCCCTTCTGATGACCGAACCAATCGACTGACGAGGCCGGTCGTTGCAACCCATTGAGCCAAACTGTGGGTTGCAACAACCGACGGCTGCAATCAGGTGCTCAATTGCAACCGACCGCTACACACTGCTAAAGACAACTGGCTTTGTTCATCCCTTGTTTTGTTCACATTAAAGTTAAGTGGCAATCTAAATTTATATTTAATTTCAAATTTATTAAGAATATTGAAGCCAAAGTTTTCAAAAGGAAGGTGTTTAAATTCATACTCAGAGATCCGATATCAATCTCTAACTATGCAATACAATTAGTAATTTTGTCATGGAAAATAATACTTAAGTTAATTAACTACTTATTTCATGGAATCTCTAGATCCAGCATTTTCCTAGTTCCATCTGCCAATGCCATTAGCGGCAGATGAAAAGGCAAATTAGTGGAATCCCCTCAACCAAGCAACTCCAACCTCTTTTCACAAAAGCTGCAATCAGTCAAGTAGCAAAGGAAATCTATATATTATTTATCAATAAAGAAAATCCCCAAAGTATTGTGAAAAGGAGGCTGAACTTGTGAAGTCATGGGATCCATCCTTTTGTGTAGCTCAATTGTTATGTCTCGGAACTTAAGCTTAATCTCGTACGACTTTAAACATTGAAAATTACAAAGCATTCTATTTCTTCAAAAAAAAATTTCTCATTTCTTTCTTTCTTGTGCTTTTGCTTTTTCGAGTTTTTAAACTTATTTAATATTTATTTTTAAAGTTTAAAACTGTATGAGCTTAAATTTAAATTTAAAAAAATAAAAAAAAATTAAATTAAAATTTTATTTTCAGAGTTTAAAACTACATGGGAACGTAACACAATCCTATTAACTGTCACATATAGGGAAAAACTTCATTAATAAATCCTTTCGTAGGGCATCAATAAAACAGAAAGCACCTAGGCTATAATCTTTGTAACTGGGAACACTTACTCCATGTTTAGCTACAGTGTTAGCAAACTAGTTGTGTTGGGTATTGGGACAAAGGGTCAGAGACAAAGCTAGAACAACTAATCCAAAGACAAGACATGGTGTAGGCGTGAGAAAGAGGATGGTTACCGCTGCTTCACTCATGCGCCTAGTCAGTTTCAACTATAAATTATCTAAATCTCTAAAGGTCCCGTCTTCTATGCAAACTCCATTCCTTTTCTTTTTTTTTTTCCCTTCACTCTTTTAGGCCCCCCTCTTTGTTCTTTGTCTTTTTCCCTAACCCCACACATCACTCTTTCTTCTCCCAATCTTTATTTGGAATAAAATCATTCATAATTCTTAAGATTAAAAAAAAAAAAGATTTGCTTCATTATTACTAAATCTTCTTCCATTTGCAAAATCTAAAGTTTTTTTATTTGTTACGATATATCAACATGTAATGTTAAATGCTAACTTATATTTAACTCAAATACTTTTTGTCAAAAATTTAAAAATATGAATATATGCTAAGCTTTTAAGATGGAAAAATCGATTATTAAATTTAGAAAATATAGCTCTACAATTTCTTCTTTTCAGTATAAAACCTCAGCATGAATGAAAGAAATCAAGAGATTTTAATGTCAAGTTCAAAGAATGTATCTTCTTTTCTTTTTACTTTGTCATCAAGATATATTTTATATCGAAAATTCAGATGCTGCAAGAAAACAATGTACAAGTTAAAAAACTCGACCGTTCGTTATGAAAAAGAGTCATTATCAATGTTTTTTATCTAGACGTGATCAATCAAATAATTAATTAAATTAGACATATTGTTTCGTTAAAAGATTTGGATAAATTGAAATGTGTAGATGATTAATTGAAAATTTATGCATGGCAGAGTTTTACATGTTGGAAAGAAATTGGGGATGGCATGGCGGCCAAATCTTTTTAACCCACTAAAAATGCTTGCTCCACAACATTTAGACACCATGTTGGCTGAATAATCAACACTGTAGAGAATGGAAGAGATGGTAGAATATATGTTTTGCCTAATTTCAAGATCTTGATTCTCTCTCTCTCTCTCTCTCTCTATTATAATACAAATAGACAAAAAAGTATGATATATAGCCATAGAGTTTCACTTTAAGCTTACCTCACCTACACTAAACCATGCAGAAAGTGACTCAGATACCCCACCACTATTTGCCACGTGGTTTCCACCTCTCTCTTGCTTTTAGAAAAAATAAAAATTAATTAATAATATAATATATAATTAAAATGCCAAACCCTCTATTCCTCTTGCGTATTGAGCATAGCATATAAAATGGATAATCATAAAGAATAACTTTCCATGAACTCACTCGGTTTTATGTCACCGCATCAAATCCTGCCTCACACGTCAACTATTGATTCAATTATTTGGTGTGTCATATACATCATACGAGTTGAATAATTTACAATCATTTATCAATGATATACTATTCAATAATTATTTTTTTATTTATGACCTTTTTTAAAATATTTTATTTTTAGTTTTATATTTATTTAAAATTTTTATATTAATATTTTGCGCGTCATATTTATTTACGTCGACACACATATGACATTGATGTGGTTAAATTTCATTAATATTCAAGAATTTATTGAGAGAATGTCGAATTTGAGAACAAAATTTGGAAAAAAAATGCGGATAAGGTAAACAATAAAAATGAAATATTCCTAAGTGGTCTACAAATGAAATTTATTTGTAAAATTTAATTCTAAAGATAAAAAATTGTGATGAAAGCAGCAATTAGTAAAGCATATAGCCTTGCTAAACTTGGCTCATAGAATCATTTGATTTGCTGCAGTTGAGAATAAGGGATTGAAAGAGGTCTTTGATGGAATAGTGCAATGTAAAAGATGGTTTATCATATTGTTGGAGTTTAAAAACTTTGTAATATATGCCTTTACCTAGCTTTTTTTCAGGTAAATTTCCCTATAGTAAAGTAACATATTGACACATGCACCCACACATGCCTGAGGACATGGACAGTTCCCTCCAGACCATTATAAATATGTGTCCCTTCCTTGCCTTCTCCTTTAGGGAGAAACATAAACACTTGTTCTCAGGGTGTTCAATTCTTCCTCTCTCTTTTTCTCTGTCTTTCTTCTCAGAACTGAGACTCTCTCTTTTCTGAATTTTTCCAACAAATTTCTCCCAGATAGTTAGGAAAAATGGAGAAGTTGAGATGTTGGGGCCGCTCCCTTGAGAGCTCCAAACCTTACATTGCAATGATTTCATTGCAGTTCGGCTATGCAGGCATGAATATTATCACCAAAGTTTCACTAAACAGAGGCATGAGCCACTATGTCCTGGTGGTCTACCGGCATGCTTTTGCAACCGCAGCCATAGCTCCCTTTGCTTTGATTTTCGAAAGGTTTGAAGAACATTGAAATATATAGATAGCAACATGATCAGTTCATACAAGAAATATATATATGCTAAATATAACTATGTTTTAACATTTCAGGAGAGGGCAACCAAAGATAACATTCCCAGTTTTCATGCAAATATTCATTCTGGCTCTTCTGGGGTTAGTTTTTAGCTGAAACCCTTCTCTTTCAAACGCATTGATTTTGCTCTGGAATCTTAAAGTAAAGCAAAGTTATTGTTTCCTGATAAAAAAAACACAGGCCGGTGATTGATCAGAACTTCTACTATGCTGGGTTGAAATATACATCTCCAACTTTCTCATGTGCTATGAGCAATATGCTTCCTGCAATGACATTTGTCATGGCTGTTATGTGCCGGTATGCGCATGAATCATGATCAGTAACTGGGATTTTCTTTTTCTTTTTTGCAGAATAGATTTGGTTAAGGCTGACTAACGGATTCAAATTTAAATTTTGTTTGGTTTGGTAATGAATAGGATGGAGAAGATTGATGTAAAGAAAGTGAGGTGTCAGGCAAAGATAGTGGGAACATTGGTGACAGTGGCAGGGGCAATGTTGATGACATTATATAAAGGACCCATTGTTGATTTCTTTTGGAGTAAGACTATCCATCCTGGGCAGTCTAACGGCACTGACACTGCTGGAACTACTGACAAAGATTGGGTCAAAGGCTCCATCCTCCTTATCATTGCCACCCTTGCCTGGGCTTCCCTCTTTGTCTTACAGGTAATTAAACAGCAAAATTTTAGAAAAAAAGAACACCCCCCCACCCTCCTCGCCAACAAATTAATTAACTTCAGTGTTTAATTGTTATTATTACTAGGCAAAAGCATTGAAGACATACAAGAATCATCAGCTTTCTCTCACATCACTAGTGTGCTTTGTGGGCACTCTACAAGCTATTGTTGTGACATTTGTGATGGAGCACAAGACCTCAGCTTGGCAAATTGGCTGGGACATAAACCTCCTTGCTGCTGCCTATGCTGTAATAAACCTCTCTTTCTCTTTTCTCTCTGTCTCGATTTCTATATAAACATATAAAAAAAGTGGCTATTTTGTGTTGTCTCTATTCTAATTTTTTTAATGTTTACAGGGAATTGTCACATCAGGCATATCATACTATGTTCAAGGAATGGTGATAAAGAAAAGAGGTCCAGTATTTGCCACTGCTTTTAGCCCTCTGATGATGATCATAGTTGCAATCATGGGTTCATTCATCCTGGCAGAGAAGATTTTTCTTGGAGGGTAAATTTTATTTCTCCTTCACTCACTGTTACATTTTTCTGCATGCATGCATGTATCCTCTCTTACATATGTTTGTATAGCTGGTTTTGCACTTATTCCAATTCATTGTATCCCCCACTTGTACCAGGCTTAATCATTAGATACAATTTTGTACTTTTATTTCATAGAGTGACAACCACTGATAATTGAATATTTCATCAAGCATCACTTCTCTTTCATTGTTTCCTTATAACATACAAAAATAAAAAGGAATCACTTGCATGAATTAATTTGGTTTTAATCAATCACAAAGGAATTAATCATATCCCCTTGTGGATTAATTTGCAGGGTGATAGGAGCAATCTTGATAGTTATAGGGCTTTATTCAGTCCTCTGGGGAAAGCACAAGGAAAACAAGGAGAAAGAGGTTAATGAGGAAGAGATCCCTGAACCAGTTAAGATCCAAGCAAATGGCAACACAATCCTAGTAATTGAAGATATAGAAGCCAGTGAAGTTGAATTGAAAAAATTAGCAGAAGCAAACAAGCTGTCAGCAGTTGCCATTGCCATGCCCATGCCAGAATCCCCCATGAAAGCCAACCAAGACCAAACATCATTCAAAGTTTAGTTCTACCATTAAGGGATGGGGTTTTTTGTCTTTACATCCCCATTTGTTTCTATCATTTTTAAAAGGTGTTAGATATATGTCATAATTGGGCCTTTTTCTTCTTTTTCTTTTTGATGTTTTGGTATTATAAAGTAATGTTGTAAGCTAATGCTGTTAGGGACCCTTGCACTGAATGAAAATGAGAGAATCCCAGAATCCCTTTCTCTTTTTTTCTCAGAATTTGTGTCTCAAATGAAACAAACTTTTTGGTTTGGGAATTTGCTTCATGTGAGTACATACATAGCAGAATTGCTGACGTCTGATTCAGATTCCACTAAGGTGTGCTAGTGGTTGACCCTTTTTTTTTTTTTCCCTGTGCTAGTTGAGGCCATGGAAATGGCAGAAATTGTTCCAAGAATCTCAGTTGCATCTTTTGTTTTTGAATCTGATGCTTCCATTCATTTTCTAATCAAGAATCACATCCAAGCTACTAGATAAAATGCACCTGTGTCATCAAATAGCAGACAGACAGATACAATTTGGGTTCAGTTGTTATCAACTTTCTAGGTGTTCCTTCTCCCCTTCAACTTATTGGAATGATAAGCATACATAATTCAGGTGGCTGCTGATAAGTAAAATCACTCACACTCATTATATTCTATGGAATATTGGGTTTCTGTCATATGGTATCATGGGTTTCTGTCATATGGTATCATGGATACTCTTTTACACTGAATTTTTGTCCTTCAAATATTCACTAATCACAGACACTGCTATATACATATACATACATACATATATATATATACACACACACATGTATCTTTCTCTCCTCTTCATGTATCAGATCATTTAGTGCAATTTTTTTTAGAGAATTGCTTGTTGCAGTTGTGGTGGTGGCTTAGTTGAGTTGTCTCCCAGTTTGCAAAAAATTCTAAGGTTTCAATCTTAAAGTTCCATAGGCAGATTGATTAGCATAAACTTAAAAGACCCCATTGCCCACCTAGCCTTTTAACAAAATATGTATTATTGTGAACATCTATTATTTAGGCCTTAGGGACATTAACATGTTTTTAACAAAGAATTTCATTAAGAAATTTTACAATGACTTGCAAAACAGGTGATGAATAATAGAGTTAATTAGGTACAATACAATTAAAATTCATGAATTATTTAGAAAATTTTAAATAAATCTTTATTTTTTATTACATTTAATCACGTTCTTATTTTTTTATTTTAGACCAAATATGCTCTTACAACTAATGATAGACTAATTATTGTTAATCAAAACGTTATATATCATTTTATGCCATCTGATGCTAGCATGTTGACATGTTATCGTGGATGGCGAGGCGTTATGCTAATGTAGAATGATGATATAACTATATGATATTTTTCAACCTATACTTTAATGCTATGTCAGTGCCACAAGGATATAAAAATTAACAAGTAGCATTTCAACTACCGATACTTAATCAATCATAAGTTATAAAGATCTATTTAATTCAAAATACAAGTACGGAGGTTTGGTTGAACATAATAGAAGAGTAAAAATTTATTTAAATTTTTTTTAATAATTTAAAAAAAAATTAAAATATTATACCAATTAATTACAAACACTTTTACAACACTTCACAGTGATTTATTTCATTGCAAACGTATATTATTTCACAAAAATAGTCTTGTACGTGTAATGTAAGATATAAAATTTGATTTTAGATATTCACATCTTCATATATTCTAGATGATCTACTTACATTATATACATTCCGAACCATTGATTAAATAGTGAATATGTATATCCCTATTCGAAGAAACTAAGCTCGAATCTTTATTCCTTTAATATAAAAGAAAAAATAATAATCTAGCTTATGTGCAAGTCATCTTCATTAGAGATATGATCCCTTTGAGATACCTAATTTTATGGATTTGCTGGTATTGCATGTAAGGGAATCTATGAGCTAGTTGACATATACAGCCCCACCTGCATGTATGATGTTACATATTCCAAAGAAGTCTGCCTCCCATCTGCCAAACTGTTGACAACAATCAAAGTTAATCAGCATCTTCATTCTTTAAATTCTATTCTCATTTCTCATCAATCCCCCCATCTTGATTATGTCATTCCAGATTAAGGAGCCGTCGACACCCACGTCACTTATCACAAGAATATCTTCCCACTGCTACATGCACCCAATTGAAGGCAAATTTGGTCAAGGAAGTTCTGTTTTGTCTGGTATAGAATAAAAATTAAGACCCAAACCTTCCTCCTTTAATAATAATCGATAATGGTTTTTTTTTTTTGAATAGTACGCATTTTATTGTTTGGTGTCAAAACCAAAATAAAATTTAAGCTTTGTGAGTACAAATACAAATAAAGTAAAAACCCCCATTAACTAAATATCCAAATTTGGGATATCTGGATGTATTAATGTTGTCCGAAATACTTCATTAGTGTCCGAACTACACTCCTTGTTTTAACTTAGCGTGTTGCCTGATTCAGGCATTACTTTAATGTTGTCCGAAATCAAGCCGTACTCTTGTCAAATTATCCTAATTATCGATATCCGAATATTTAACTTATTGATTAATGCATGATCTTTTACTTAAAAAGTAGGGTTCAAATTCTTTTTCTTTCAATTAAAAAAAAACCAACTAAGGGTTTATCGATTGTAACTAAGCTGCATTCTTCAAATCACTAGTTATGCATAATGTAACGGGCTTCATTGTTTTTATCATTTTTATTATTATTATTTAGAGTTGTTTCTCATGCGTTTTGTTTATCTTTTCAGTTCAACATCTTAGACTGTGAAACTTTGTAAACTACTTTCTTCAAATAAGATAAGCTTGTTCGAACCAAAAAAAAAAAATAGATGGAGAAAAAATTGGGATTAAGTAATGAAATATAAAGTAGCATCCATATTCCATAAGCATGGTTCCAAATAGATAGAATTTATGTACTTTCTGTGACAAATTCTAGATTTAAAAAAAAATGGATTCATGCAGCATATTTTGTTAGTGGCCAACTAGCTAGCTAGCTAGCTAGTGCTTTGTTTTCTGGGGGTGTATGGCTGCCAAAGAATATTACCATAACTCCTCTTTGAATCTCTTTGGCTTTCTGTCCACACAATTCCATGTTAAGATATACATGCCTCTCATCCTTCTTATCTTTTACTCAAAGTGATTTAATATCGTGTAAAGATTTTTAAGCAAATCTTACACCCGAGCATTTGATTTAACAATAAGCATATGTATCCTTTTACTCAAAAAATTTAATTCTGGGTTCTCATTTCCCGAGTCAAAAAAAAATTGTACAAATGTTAATTCTTAGTTTCATATTATTTTTCAAAATTTTAATTTGAAAAGTACTGTTATTTAAATTTTTAATTACATTTTTTTCACTTTTAAGGGTAATTAATAAAGCATAGCTATGGTTAGTGTATGAGATCTCTATAGTTGCAGCTAAATAATGTTTTAACAATTTTACGTCGGAAATTGCTGTCGAAATTCAAATTTGTTAAAATGAACAAAAGAAACTTATATATTAAGTTAGCTCCTATTGCACTTGAATTAAACATACAATTAATTAATATCTATTAACTAATAAATGTTGCTTGGGATAAATTCGATCACCTAACTAATCAATCTATATTCTATAAATATTTATATGATTCCTTTAGAATGTAAGCATATTGGAACAAACTGACTAAGCAATGGATATGTGCACTTAAAGAAGTATGAAGAGAATCTTCCCTTCTTTTTCCTTTCCTTCCCTTTGTACTAGAAAGAATCATCATTTCCTTTCCTTATATTAACAAAGTTTTTTTTTTTAATTTTTTTCCTCTCTTATCCATCAAACAGTACATTATAAACTAAAATTAGTATTTAACATATATTTTTTAAAAACAACTGAAATTTTTTCTTTTAAAAAAAATTATATATATACTGAAAAAAAAGGACCAAATATCGATAAGTAAACTCAGCATAACATTACAGTTTTTTTTTTTAATTGAGAGAAGAGATATTCGAATCTTGCTCTCTAACTAAGAGAAACATGTACTAATTAATGAACCAAATACTCGAGTACATCGTAACATTACAGTTAGTACTCAATAAATGACAAGAACTGGATTTGTGTTGCAATGAAAGCACTATAAAATTTCAACCCAGCAAGGATTCATGCCAAATTGGTCAAGAAAGATGTAAAAGAGAAGTGAACTACTTTGGCAGAATACACAAAATATCCCATTAATTGAACATCTTCCCAGTTCTAGTTTGCTGGCTAGAAACCATTTCTCTTTGTTTCCTTTTGCCTAATTAAAATTCAAAGTACTAAACCACTCTTTGGTTCACTTTTACTATCAGTATAGTATTCCTGCCTATATGATATTCTTAGGAACTGTGCACATCAATGATTATTCTTGGCTGCATATAACAAAAGTCAGCTTGCCTATATTTCAATGTTTTTATTCTGCAAATGATTCTGAGTTAGTAATGCCACCAACATGTTCATACCAAGCAGAGAATCTCACTTAATTATCTCTTAAATATCTTTCTATATTTAATTCAAGATTTTTTCTCTTATATCTTGATTTTATATTATACATGAGGATTTAAACGACTCGGTGAAAGGAATTCTCTCTTATCTCATAAATCTCACCCCATCATTTAACTCAGAATTTAAACTCGAGATTTGGATGTCTCGTGGAATTTTTTTTTTCTTTCGTTTTTTGTCTTTTTTGTTTCATGGTGCTTTGTAATGAAATATGAAATTCAAAATGTGAAACCTATTGGAAAATGTATTATAAACAGCACAGAATCCACTTGGAAGGATTAATATTAATCTGCATGGAAATCACTAAGTATGATTAATACTTATCTAATAGTGATCGATTCTCCACATACATTTTAATTAATTTTCACTAAGATAAGATCTTTCTTACATAGTATGTAAGAGTCCATTGTCCCACTTAATGGTGACACTCAACTAAACCTTAATCCATGTTTTAGAATATTAATTAATTAATCCCCTTTAATTTATTGCTAATGCTTTCTTACCTAGAAAGGATTACTGTACAGGTGCTTTCTGTGCCCTCTGCCCTTTAGCTTTGCATAAGATAGATAATATATACATAAATTTCATCTTATTCATAAGAATTCATTTGAATTAAACAATGAGAAGTAATCTTTTTCCATCTCATAAAATCCACTCTGTCAATCTCAAGATATATATATATACAAACTCGAGGCCTCCAAGATGAATCGAATCTCGAATCTTACCTTTATACATACATACATACATACATACATACATATATATATATATATATATATATTGAAGTAATGAAGAACTTGTGTTCTTCCCCAAATGCTTCCACTTGAATGTTTAAACCAAAAAAAAAAAACCCTTGTGGAATCTGATTTTGTTGCAAAATAGAAAGATATGGGAAATAAATCCCTCTCACCTTTCTCTATGTTGTTTTTTATTTCCCTTCAAGTGGAGAGTGCAGACTTATCTGAAAGAACCCACATCTTATAATGCTCTAAAAGCAACTTACTATGCCATGAATCATGATGTCAACCCTATAAGAGAATTTATGCTTTAAATACGTCACATAATTCTCTTGAGGAATATTCTCTTCTATCTCAAGTAAGATTCAAGAGCTTACTTTTTCTAAAACAATATTAATTTGTCCAATAATTTGTCTAACATAAAACATATCAAGAAGGGTAGGTTTTCATACGGATGGAACATATCGATATGCTTTTTGTTTCCATTTTATATAGAAAAAATTTTAATTAAATTGATTGATTATGGATAGTTGTTAACTACTATATGTTGGATTAGCAATAATATACTTTACTATACCTAAGGATTAGAAAGCTAATGTAAGTGGCAAGTGGTTCATTAAGGATAATGGATCTGACCTAGCACACTAACTCTAAATTATATATTGTTCTATTCCCTTCTGTTTTGTTTCTATTTAAACAGCATAATTCGAAAAGACAGTGAAAAAACTCAAAGCAATGATGTGAATAATTGATTATGGAGTGATCATAAGTTCTATAAAACCTTTTTTCACAAAATTAGAATATAGTTTTTAAATAAATTAGTTTGGAATAGTTATTTTTCAATTTTTAATATTTGGTTATTTACTTTATTTTATTGATCATATTTTGTGTTTCAATGGAAATCATTTTCAAAATTAAAAGGTTTTTTTTTTTTTTTTGCATCTGTTAATTAAGCTGTTAGGATAATGTTTCATCATATTGAGCAACCTTTGAAACCAACCAAAGCTAGTGTTTCTCCTTTATTGGTGCAAATGGTGGCAATAGGATGTTGCATCATTGTCAACTATATTTGTCCCCCCTTCAATTATGAGGTCCTTCAATTTTCTTTTGGTTAAATTGAGTTTTTGTTTTTAAAATTTATATTATTCACACACAATGTTATTATTTCTATCTTTTCTGTTTTAATTTTGGTTATTCAACACATTGTTTATAAGAATTCTGAACAAAAGAATTAAACAATTCCGAGTTTAAAGAATTTAGTTAAACCCGATTATCAAGTTAAACTTGTCCAAAATAAAGAACAAATATAATTTCAGAAACATTGAAACAAAATAAAAAATAGAAAGTATTTTTGTAGCCTTCACATGCTAATAAGCTAAGGAGAAAATTATACAAACACTTTGTACATCTTCAAAAGGGGCATTGCTAAATGGTAAAGAAGGGAAAGTAATAGGTAGAAAAACCTAAGGGCCTTTTCTAAACTATTTGAATATCCTTGGGATGGGTTTAATCTTTTAGGCTTTAAGTTCCCTGCATCAACATCTAGCCTTAGTTAGCCCACCTCTTGGTTGGGTTGAACCATTTCCAATAAAGAGTTCAAGCTTCCTGAAAGTTACACTACTGCATAATAATCTCAAGTCACAATGCTGCTTTTGCTTGACAAATACACTTGATGATGGTAATACTAGTGAAAAATAACAGTAATTTTTCAACATGCTTGAGTACATTTTAGTTCATAAGTTTGAGATATTGAACTGCTTTTCAACCCTAAGCAATGGAGAATGTCGATCGAAGTTATGTATCTACAATTAGTTAAGCAGTATAGAAGTGCGTGTCATGTCATATAATAGATGAACCATCTTTGATCTCATGTAAAAATGTACAAAACCAAACAAAGCTGGAATAAAGAGTTACTTCTCCAGTGTATCATGTACAATGATGTCATAAAACAGAGTCAAGGAGGTCTAAATTCCCCGAGAGACGGAGTCATCCTTTGGGAGAGCAACAAAGTTCAACGGTATTACATTGTTAACCCTACCACTTTCTCTATGTTCCTTTAGACTTGAAACCCCATGCCTACCTGAAGGAGTTGACACCCGGCGACCAACTGGGGTTCCAACCATAGTATTAGTCTGACCCAAGGGCTTCTTTGGTCTTGAACCGAAGAGTGCCTCTTGTTCTGCAGCAAATTGTTCTTGCAACCGTTTTTGCTCCTGCAACATATGGCAATATAAATGAACTTTAGCTGAATTTATGACTGCATAAAAACCTCCAACATAACTATATGACAACAAAAGCAGAGTATGCAGATCCAACATAGGGAGTCTATGAATGATGATTGCTGCATTTCTTAATGACAAGGATAATAGGCTATGCATTAATACTAATGATATATGGATACCAACATTCATACGACCACATGGTGAGAACTGGAATAAAGGCATTTCAACCCACATGCCACATCCAAAGCATAATGCAGGTTGTTTAACATTTGAGTGCATGACAAATACATGACAAACAACAAAAATTTTATCATGGAAAAGGTCCACACACCTCCATAGAAATTTAATTCCATTTTCTTCTTCGAGAGAATTTCATCTTATTCTTTTATGTGCTTTCCTATTAAATATGTTTTCTCTTGTTCTTATTCTTTGTAGATGACAAATAACCCCAAGCCCAATCTAGACCATATCCAGTCCACTACCACATATCCAAGGCACCAGGTAGCACCTGAAAATAGATGCATAGTGTTGCATATGTTAAAGTGAACATAAGAACTTAGAAGGAACAGAAATAGCCATTAGGATTTGAGTTTCTAAGTCGTATAGTTAGATGAGGGAGCTCTTCATTTAAACTTTATGGATCAATATATACTTAAGAATGGGGGGTGCAATAGGTTTAAGGTTCAGAAGCTATGATCATGCTTCAATAGTAAATTTGAAAGTGTACCCGAGATCTACGCTTCTCCTCCTCTCTCTCTTGGCGTAAAACAGTATATTCCTCCAACTTGCTTAAGACCGAAATCTGCAATTGTAAATCAGTTTTGAGACCAAACAATCATAAACTAATGTAAAAACAAAATAAGAATCACAAAGTACTTACCTTGTCATATAGAAAAGGGATTCCTTTCTCCAGCTCCCACGCTTTTACTTTCACAGTCAAAGTTTCAACAATAGCTATCCAACAAAAAGAAGCTTAAGTATTGTATGATGGCCATTCACACTAAAAGTTTATGAATCCATTAAGCAACGCAAACCTCTCGTCTGGTAAAATTTCCTACCTTTTATGACAGACCAAGGAGATTTTTTTTTTTTCAATATCTTTTCCTTTAATTCCTAGACCATCCATGAAATTAATCATAAAGCCATGCATCTCAGGACAGAAAGCACATATGCACATTGTTCAATACATCATAAGCGTGTCATGTTCCTATACATAAGCACACACTTCCACAATTACGTACAAATTACATTCACATTAGTTTGATACAACAATCAGAATGCTAAGCAACCATGTCTTTTTAAGCTTCACTATTAGCAATTAAAGCTTAATTTACTCAGGAAACTTCTCAGTAAAAGTGAATTTGCAGGCAGCTGCCAAATAGATGTAAATTTTAGATACTAAAAACTGACCAAATTAACCGAGAAAACCAATGATCCTAACTGACCCTAAACCAAAACTAATTAACTGAATCCAATCGATTCAGTCAGTTATTTCAGTTTCAACCGAATTATGCTAAGCCCTATGCATAATGCCCCTGGCTTCTAACTCTAATATGAAATTTTTTCTACTTGAATTGATAATTTAAACCGTCACCTTTTATAATAGTTTCAGCGAGAATTTCAGTTATTTCTTGTTGCTCTTCCCAGAACTTGTTTCTTTCACCAAAATACAAATGTCTAACCACATGAGAACTTAAGTCTCACCTTAGAACCAAGGTCACAAATAGAAGCACCCTTTTAACACTAGAAAATAACTCTGCTTCTTAGAATTAGGAAGACAAAGTTCTTGAAAGACTAGCAAAAATTACTTTAGAGGTTTGAAAACTTTGCTTTATGACAAAGCATGTTTTCTATTCAACAAAGGAAATTACGTACATAACATTACAAAAACCTATTTATCATGCAAGATATTCATAAGCTTACATGGTAATTTGCTGACAAGAATGCGTGCTTTCTCCGCACGTTTCAGATTTTTGTGCACTCCTCTTCCTGCAGTATACCGATTCTCATCCTAGAGAGAAGAAAAAAAATAAAAATAAAAATGAAGATACAAATAATGAGAGTTGTAGCTGCAAACAGTAAATCAATAACTTCAACCTTCTTTAAGAAGTTTGCCATATAACCGAACTATCCAAAACATTTCACTGGTTAAAGCAATGGGGTAGGAGAAAGAAGGCTGATCCTAATAACTGGTTCGGTTGTCTCTCATGAATATGATTTGATTTAAATTTCAGATTGCACTGGCACTAAAAAAAGTTTTATCTTTCATACAGTATTCGTAGGTAGTTTCTTTTTTCTTTTTGGCCAACTTAGTAGGGAGTCATTAATACGAAAAAATATAATTCCTGCAAATATAATTAACATCAAACTAGTCAATATTGTGTATGACCTCAAGAAATAGTATATAACTTAGGAGCACCGGAAAAATTTTATGAAATATGGCGGCATCCCTCTCTAGATCATAACAGCTTAACAGTGATCTTGATTTCAAAAAGAAAAAGCGAAACTAAGTACACATATTGTAAAAAACTGCTACAATTTTGGGATCTGAGCAAATTAACATAAGGACTACATTTTAGAGCATCTTTGTGAAGTGCAAGAGTCAACCCTAAGGATCTCTGAATAAATATTCCTATGTAACATAGAACACAGCACAAAATATTCTGATAGCTTCTCAAATAAGATTTACCTTTTCATAGTCATCAAGCCATTTTTCCTCCTCAGATGCATGTTTCCATTTCTCTACCTTGTCCAAAATATCCTTCCGGCTTAAAGCTTCCTGCTTGGCTTTTGTAATCTCATCATCCATGCTTGAAAGCAGATTGGACAGATCAACATCACCTGAAGAGGCATGTTGAAACACATAACATTTTAACAACAATTTTCACATCAAGAATTGTATGCAGATTGCATTGTTGCAGATTTGTTAAGAATGTTCACCACAAAAAGGGATTTCATAACCTGGAACAGAGTATAATGAGATAATAGATGACAAATAAAACCCATGCATAACTCATGTAAACTAGCAGTTAGAAAGCGTAGTGCATGTATTCTAATTGTCAAAAACATACTAGGTTTTGCAAAGCTATAATTATTAAAAAAAAGGTCCTTACAGATGCATATACAAAATCAAAATTAAGAGGTTGCATACTATGCTACAGAGAAAAGATACACAAAATATTAAAAAGTTATTATAATGACCAAAACAAGGGAGAGAACCAAATATTCCAATAATGATGCACATACTAGTTGAGATGCAAATAACATGCCATTGAATAGAAATATGACTTTGCTAAAGCAAATTAATATGTGAGAGAAAAAGGGCATGCTAATAGCAAACTGCTTTTGTAGTTAAATTGAATGGCCACATAAAAAGCTACAAAATGTAAATGCAAGTCAAAATGCAATGCGGGGAACAGAAATCAATATGAGATGAAACAGGAACATCTATGCAGCAAAACTACATTTTGCATTAAATTAATTGTTCATCACAAGCTCCTAAAAAGAATCATATGGAATAATAAAAGAATAAAAAGAAATTTTAGAAAGGAAATGAATATTCCTAAAGGAGAAGTAGATAACAGAAAACATGCAAACAAGCATACACCTCATTGTGTTGTTATTATGTAAGGCAAAAGGTGACACCATAAATGAAAATCAGGATATAATATGAAAAAGACAGGCATGTTTATAGAAATGCAAACAAAGATACAATAAATAGTTTCATGAAGATATAGATAATCCAGAACAAGGAGATAATTTGGCAGAACCAGATTCTATGAGGTTGATAAGAAGCTGCCGTGCTGCATCACTGTTTACATCCATATGGACTCCTCTGTAGATTTCCTCAAGTTCATTTTGCCTCTTAAATACCAACTCCTTCATTTTACTAGCCTTCAGTACATTCAATCTTTCAACATGAATCTCAACCTGAAAACAATAACAAATATATAACATTATGTGCAAATTACAATAATCTTGGAACATCTATGGTTCCAATAAAATAGACAAAAACAAAAGTGCCACCTGTTCAATAACATCTAGACCAAGGCATCCTTGTCTGGACACCTCATCAATTGAGGAAGAAATCAAGGAAGTAACATGCTCAAATTTCTTTCGCTCATCAGCAGGTGAATCAAGAAGATTCCATAGTCCTATCAATGTGCTCCCAAGGCTTTGAAGCTACAGTAAAATAAAAATGGTTTAGAGAAGAAACTCTTGCTCGAACTCACATGCAAATGAACAAATGGTCAATGCTCAACCATAAACATGAAAATGCAGGAACAGATAAAAACGAATACTCATGTCAAGTATAGAGACAATAAAACAGAAAGTCAATATGAAAAGTTCTTTTACGCAGCTCAGAGTCAGTGCCTTACAGAAGACTGCAGTTCCCAACTTCTCCTTAAGTACTCAAAAAATATAACAAAATAAAAATAAATTATAAAAGAAAAGAATAATCTAACAGGAGAAAAGGATTAATATATTAGCCACAATTCCATATGTATAGTTTGCATGAAAATTACATATCTAACAAAAATACTAAAAAGAAGACTTTGTTCTTCCATATTTTCCAAATTACTCTAGGTTATGACATGGATAGTTAATAGTCTCTCTTCAACCATCAAAAAGACATTCAATAAAAAGAAGACTTGGTGCACTATAGACCTAGTTTTGAGAATGCTAACCACCCAACATCAAAGGCAAATTTTGACTTGTAAGAACTTGCAATCAAGATCTCTAGCTCAACATATCACCTTTTAAAGTATGAAAGCACTCAACTGCACTAAGCACATCTCCAGCTTCTGTTAGCTGTACCAACCTTACATTCTAAGAAGCTGACCCTCAGAAAAGTCATACATGTTACCATCTTAAAAACTAGGAATACCTAAAAAAGGCAGCTTTTCTGATTGCATAGCATATTCCCTATTAAAGTTACACAGCTAATTAAAAAGAGGATGATCACTCTCAATCACTATTCAACTTTTACAGAAGATCAAGAAAATAAAGTGTATAAACAACCTCATTCTTCTCAAGCAATGCAATTTCCTCAATAAAATTGCTCACACATTAAAAGTTACTAAACTCTAGCTGTTTAAGAACTTAAGCAGATAGATTCCATATGAACCAAACATAAAGCGCAGCAATCCATGCAGGCGGCACTAAAGAAAATATGATACTGAAAAAATAAATGCATCCCAGCTAAAGCTTGTTTTGGCAAAATTACAATTTAGCAAAACGCTTGAACCTTCCCATTTGCATTTTAAAATTTTTCCTTGTAATTTATTAATTAGAGAGGAAAAATTCTTCCCCAGTAGAAATCCAGAACAGAAAGACCATAACAGTCATCCTTGGAGATGCAAATGAGCTTTTAGTTACCCTATCATTCTAAACATCCACTCTCACTGAAAGCACCTAAAGAAAGAACTTGGTTAATCAGAACCTTCAGTTTCTCAAGCAGAACAGTCAACCAATTAATGTAGCTATATTTTCTTAAGGGAAACTATAGGATTTTTTTATTAACAGTTTCAATAATGTTCAAGCACTCAGACCTTGTTATAAAGCTATGCCTGCTTGAGATTTTGACCCACCAATGAAAATCAATAATGAACTAATTCATGTGATATATAATAAGCGAAATGCCCATCTCCAATAAGATAAGCTTTACCATAGAGCATAAATGAAAGTGATTTTTCATGTTTGTAATCTTTTAAAACCAAGTGCTCATTGATATTTAAGATCGCAACACCGTCGTTATGATTTTCCATTACAAAACTCCAGAACAACCCTTCAAAGAAAAAGTGCAGGTAGGAATAACCAAATTGATCTTTCAAGGTCAATTGTTGTGCCAACACAATTGCAATGGGTTTCCTATGATAATCAACCCGTAAGAATAATTAGAACAGTGTCAAAAGGGGCAATTGAAAGAAAACTTATAGCAGGTATCAACTTCATATCAGTAAAGCTTACTTCTTCTTAATTTCAATTATTGAGAAAGAGCAAACACGAACACGTACATGCTGCATATGCAAAAGTAAATACAAGTACATCTACAGGTATCAATATATGAAAACATGTAATGTGTCAATACATAAAAAAGATTGACAGAATCCGTGATATGTCACCTTTTGTAACCTTTTCTGCTTCTCTTGCTGCAGGGAATGAATCAGGCCAGTTAATTTAGCAAGTGTATCATTGCTGATGCTCTTTGATTGACCATTTGGAGTATCAATCAGGCCCGGATGAATGCCACTAACTGTCTTCAAGAAATCAAAGGACATCAGAACTGACAGCTCATGAATCATATTAATGTGGCTGTTAACTTTCTGTAACCGGATAATCTGCAGATTCAGTAAAAGACAAAATAACGATCAGTACAATAAATAAAACACCGCACTATTAGAGTATTAGTACAACTTAAAATTCCAGACCGTAGCTATCTACAAACCTTCTCATTCTGAAGCTCCTGTAGGTGAGATTTAAGCTCCCCTAGTTTCTTGACAGTCAAATCATGCTCACTTACTTGTGGATCAGCAGACATAATGTACTGACTATTGCCTGCTATTTCTGCACAAATCCGTATAATCTGTGATTGGGTTTCAGTAAAATCCTTCATTCTTTGCTCCTTCTTGGACCTCAGGTCCTCTAAAACAGGTCTTACAGCAGATATTTGCTGCTTGAGAGTGCCCTTTCCCTTCTCAAATTGCAGAAATAAGCCAAATCAACACAAATATTTGGACAAAACAGCCACAAAGCAGATATACCCTAAGATAGTACATGCAAAATGTATGCTTTCATATAATCAATTTTACTCATTAAGTAGGGCTGGTTATACGGATCATATCACGCTATCTTGCCCTATATAAGACCATCTCCTCAGTAAGCTTTTATAAGTAAAGAACATCTGTGGCTTCCATCCATGTCCTATAAATTTTACACATGAAAGGCCATTTTGCTCTAATGATTTCACAATTATTCTCACACATTTATTTTTCTCGCTCCGAACCATATACAGAGGAAATACTTGCTGCATAAGAGTGCCTTTCCCTCCTCAAATTGCAAAATTCAGCCAAATCAACACATTACATGGAAAACCATAATTAAACTTAGAAACTTCACACAGAATGTAAGCTTTTGCCACGCATAAAAGGACTTTTTTTTCCCTAATTATTTCACAAATGTAAGCGACCCATATCAAAAGATGATGTGCAAGAAACAAAACAACCATAAAGCAAAAATATATCTCAAGATACTGCATACGCCACGGCCTGCAAGTTCTGCCTTATCTTCCACATAGAAAAGCCATTTTTCCCCTAAGCATTTCTAATTAAGCAAATGTATTTTGAATTGCAAAACAATAACAATAACAATGCTAGAAAGAAAAAAGAAAAGAAGAAATCTACGAACCCGTGAGAAGGAGAGAGAATGTTCGCCGAGGGCGGAAACGAGGTTGGCGATTTCTGATTCAGACTGAGCCAAAGAGTGATGCAAATCGGCCTTGTACTTTCTCGTCATTTCCACCTTTCTTCTATAGATGTCCAAACAGTCTTGCTCCAACTCCAAAAGCATCTTATCTCTTTCTCCATCACTTTCCCCAATTTCATCCCATATTATCTAGTAATCATACACAAAAACGAAGCAAATTACTCGATTTTCTCAGTCAAATAAAAGGTTTAAAAAAAATAAAATTCCCCAAAAAAAGAAAGTGAGAGAGAGAACCTGCAATTCTTGGAGGAGAGAAGCGCATGTCGTTTGGGAGTGACAGGGCGAGAGAGACGGGGGCAAAGTTGCCATTTTGGGGGAAAACAAAACAACAAAATTACTGAAGAGAAGCTCGAAACTCCAAGAAGAAACAGTGAAATCTGGGGGAGACGAACGCAAAAGGCAATGGATGCGTTACGAATCGGAGTTTTAATACGGAAGATTTTGGGGTACGGAAATCTTGAGTTGTTTTTGGCGCGAAACTCGACGCTCTTATTTTTTTTAATTTTTTTTATATTTCTATTTTTATATAATTACCATAAATAAAATTTAAAAATATAAATTTATTAATATATTTAAATTTTGCATTCAACCATTATTTTCAATCAAAAATTCTGATATTACTTATCAACGATTCATGATTTCAATCCAAATGACATCGTATATCAGGTGAATATGTGACATGTTTAAAGGTATAATATTTAAAAAATTTCTAAATAATTTTTAAAAATTTAAATAAATATTTATTTATTTATTTATTACATTCAATTTTAATAATCTTTTATAATTAATAGTTGATTTTATCAAAATATTATTTATTATTTTATGTTATATGGTGTTGATATGACGTGTTGATATGTCATAATTAAAGATGAAGCATTCCATTATTTTGACGGGCCATACTTTTAAAATTTTTTAAATTTTCTATATATTATATATATTTTTAATAAGTCTTTTAAAATAATTTTTAATTAAATAAATAATATAATAAAAAATAATAAAATAACTCTATCATGAGCACTACAGTTTTTCAAAATTTTAAAATTTTTATTTATTACATATTCTTGGAACCATTTGATGAAATTGGAGGCAATCAATATATTGTTAATTATAATATAAATTCTAACCCAATATGCTAAGCCTATCAAATTTAAAAAAATAAAAGTGAGTCTATTAACTTGAACTTATCAAATCTTAATATAAATCTAAGCCCACTATAATATATTATATCTTAACAACCCAATTTAATAAATAATATATTATATCTCAACAATTCAACTTAATAATCTAATATATTAATTAACAATTCAAGAAGCAAATAAAAAAAAAAAGCTTTATCAAAAAGTTACCTATTTCGTATATAACAACAATTTATTTTGAGTTGAAAAATTATTTTCTCTTCCACTCTTAACCGGCGAAAAGAGTGAGAAAGACTCTTTTTATAGTTTCGTTTAATTATATATATTTATATATATATGACACTATCATTACTGTTAATTTTTTTTTTGTATAGTCAATGTCTTGTAAGTTTTATTTAATTTTTTAAATGATTGAGAATTGAATGATATATAAAGTTTTCTTTAACGATTAAGTGCTTCTTTTTATTTGACTTTTTTTTTAAAAGTGCTCTAAGTTCTCTTATAATCATAATAGATAATGACGTGATGTGATGATATATTTTTCACCTTTCATGTTAGCATCACATGAATTTAAAATAATAAATTATATTTTGATTAATAATAATTAATTAATCATTAATTATAAAAATTTATTTAATTTAAAATAAAAATATAAAAATTTAATTGGACACAATAAAAGAATAAAAACTTATTTATTTTTTTTACATAGTTCAGGAGCTTTTTTAAGCCTTATGCCTAAACTAAAAATCAGTATTAATTTTTAAAATTGATATTTTTAAATATAAAATATTTAATATAAAAGCTATTTGTCATTTTGTTAAAAATCACATGCTTAATTTATTGTTATTGATTTTTTTATAAAAAGAGATATGTGACTTATAATTTTTTTTATATTTAAATATTTCTATGAAAATAAAAATTAAGGGTGCTAATCACTTATTATAATTTTTTTTAATATAACCAGTGAGTAATTAATCTATTATACTATGATAATCTTCTTAATAAAAAAGTGGTTTTGGTAAAATAGATTTTATTTATTCAAGAAAGCATAAAGGCATATTTGCTACAGAAGGAAGAAATTGTAGCAGTTTACAAGCTAAGCTAGACATGGAGAAACAAAGAACACTAAACTAACCAATAAAAAAGTAATATATTAAGTAAAACTTGTGTTAATTCCTCTTCTAAGTCATGTTTCTGATCTGCAACACCATTGAAGCCTGCTGTGAACCACCTCCTCTTATAATGCAATTCAAAATAAGGCAACATCAGTTGAAGACTTCATACCTTGAGTCAAATAAAGTAGAGATGCAAGCACTCCAAGGTCCAAGCAATTCTGAAAACCCAATTGCTAGCATAGCAACCACAACACAACACTAAATCGAAGCATTTGATTCATTAATTAGTATATGATTCCTGCTTAAAGAGTAAAATTCAAATTTTCTTTTTTCAAATTTAATAAAAAAAAAACCCAATGCACCACTCTACCAACTTGTCTCTTAATCCCCATAATGTTTTTAGAAACTTGGCCTCCAAATTTGCTTGGTGGAATAATATTTGGAGTTCAATTCACTGGTCCATCTCCATGAACTAATACTTTCCACCTTATCATGCATGCCTAACGCCATCCCAACTGTGAGCTGTGCTTCTGTACAATGTATTGTTTGTAGAATTAAAGCCTAGTGCCCTACAAAGGAAAGGGCAGTTTTCTTGATTCTGAAAGAGGGATTCAAATATAAGGGAATGTCGAAAAAGAAAAAGTGGAGTGAACTTTTGCCTAGTGCCTTTTGCCTTTTGGGGGGCGTGAACTTGCTTGCGAGTCTGTAGTTTTGGACTTGAATTCATTTACTTGACTTTTTGGTTTTTATTTTTATTTTTCATAAAATAAAATATAAGAACTTGAATTATATGGACTTGATGAGAAGCATTCTTAATTTTTGTTTTGTATCGGTAATTGTAGTTGGCCCACCACATATGGTGCCAAACATGGGGTAGGTGCATGTGTCCCATGAGCCCTAAGCCCTCTACACCCTTATTATACTCGTCTGTATTACGGATCTTGTATCATTAAGAGATGTGATAAATTTTAAATTTATAAGTAAGAATTCACTTAATAGATATGTATTTTAGATTGATAATGCAAACTTATAACCAATAGTATTAAAACTTAAAATTATTAATGGGTAGTATTAGTTTCAAAATGAGTGTTAAAGAAGGTGAATAGTACTTACAGATATTTTTGAGAGTAACTTTTGGAATTTAAAATCATTTGAAAAATTTTGAAATGGATGTTTTAAGAATTTGTTGAGGTTAGTTAACATCTGAGTAAAAAGAAGTTAAGATAAGTGGACAAAACACTATATTTATAATGGTTTAGTCCGCCTAATTTACATTTATTACTTTGATATTCTCAATCAAGGATTTTCAATCCAATTTTACTAAAACCAGTAGAATTAACAATTTTCACCAAGTTTTTATAACTTGAGCTTCTAACTTAGGATTTTCAATCTAATTTCTCTAAAATCAGTGAAATTAACAGTTTTCATCAAGGTTTTACAAAATGAGCTTCTAACTCAAGCTCTAAACTTTTACAATAACCTTTAGAGTGTCTCGCACACTCTATTCAAACAAGAAATAAGAAAAAATTGAGGTATAAATGATCATTTAGCTGACTTAAGATGTATAATTTCAAGTTTAAACACTTTCACAAAGATAAAAGTGTAATACTAGCGTAAAGGAGAAAGTTTTTACTCTTTAAGCGCTCACGAAGTCTTTGTATCTTCTTTTAACCTTTTTGAATGTTGTGGAGACCATTTAAATACTTGAAAAACAGTTTTCAGTCGTTGGAGACAGATTCTAACCATTGAAAATAATTCTGAACCCACTATAACCGTTATTTTGTTTTCTAATGATTAAATTCAAATGTGCTAGTAGTAAACATTTACTCGGTTAAAAATGAGCTTTAACTGCTTAATTCCTTTTTGTTTGGCAAACTCTTTTATTGTGTTAACTGGTTAAATGTGGCTTTAACCTATTATGAACTTTTCTGTTTCGAGACACTTTTAATTACTATTTTTTGCTAGCTTTTTTTTTTGTCAATTGATTAGTCTTCCCTTTAATTAGTTGAAGTTTCTCTCCCTTTATCCTCTACTAATTAAAATAGACTTGAACTAATTTAGAAATATTCAAATTTGGATCTCCTCATTTGATGCTCTTTAACGGTCAATCATCACTTTGAATGTGAATTTTGTCGTTTCTAAGTACTCTAAGTTTGAGCTTTAATTAATTAACTCTTTTGGTTAATTGATTAGCAAGCTTTTGTTTTACTTTGATTAGCAACCTTGTGTTAATTGATTAAGACTTTTCTATCATGTCTTTGTATAGCATCTAGTTTTGCCTTAATCGACTAAGGTTTCATGTTAATCAGTTAACAACATTCTGTCTTCATTAAGTTCTTTTCTTTTTGCTTATCTTAAATTATTAACTTATCTTGTAATTGAACAAGCTTTTTTACTTACTTTAAAACAACAACTCTATTAAGGAATTTAAACTTTATCATGCACACTTACGATATATAATTAGACATCGAAAACTGAGGAATGTTTTGTTATAATTAAAAACATATGAAATCAATAGGTAGGATATCTATTATTTTTTAGATACTAAAATACGAACTCTATTAAATTATAAGATGCCCAAACCTTATAATTATGTGAATAAAATTTTAAAAAATTACCTGAACCTGTATCGTATTATTTTAAAACTACTCCTTAAATACCTCTGTAGAGTTAGAGACAAAAAAAACAATATATATATCTTTAATTAAGTGAAAAAAATAATTATAACTCCTTTTCATCTATCAAAAAATAGATTTAGTTAAATTGGCAAGACTATATGTTGTCCAAAGAATATAGTTAAGGTTCATACCCCTTTAAAAGTATATAATATATTTAATACATATTTATTTATAAATAAGGTTATATCCATCTCAAATCCAAATATAAGATATTCGAATCTTATATAATCGAGTTGGATAACTGTAAACAAATACTCAATTAAAAAGTACTCATTACCACTTTTATAAAAATTTATTCAATTTTTTACTAGTAAAAGTAGAGATGGATTTTTTTATGAGTAAAAAAATTATACAATTAAGCAAAAAATATTACGAATTTTATATTAATAAAAAATTAAATTATCTTAATTTTATAAATAAAAATTCTTTTACCTTATAAAATATATTTTTAAATTAAAAATATAAACTCGTGA